AGCATGAAACACATCCTCATCATTGCAGTCGATTTCCTCGGTGCTTTCTTCCTGTGCTAAACTTAGGAGCAGCCTGGAGCAGAGGAACAGTATAGTAACTAGCTTCATGATTCGAGTTTCCCTCTAGAGTCAGAGGGGTCGTTTTGACAAGAACTGGAAGCCAACTCAGCAGCTCTCTTAGCAGCCTCTCTGTTCTGTCCAGTCCTCTTTTCTCCCTGCCTGACCACTGGGGCCCTATTTGGATTCCTGCCGTCACAAGCTGTTTGCCCTCTTCCCAGAGAACAAATAGGACTTGGTTAGCTGTCCAAGCAGGTTTCAGGCTGGAACATTGCAACACAGGGGTTGTTGACCTTCGTCTTTGACTTTGAAAAGAATGTGGGAAGGCAGAGCCCCATTTCCAAAACATTGCACAACATTGTACAGTGAATTAGGGCAGAAACCAATAAAAGAGGAGCTAAAAGCAACAACCGATTCTGTTAGCCTCTTGCAATGTTACTGGGCCAATTACAAAGGTTTCTCCATGTGTAAACATGAGGACAATGTACAAACCTCCCACACAGCATTACTTATGGAATGCCAGTGTTGTATAGAAGCAGGCTAACGGGATGTCGGTGTGTATAGAAGCAGGCTAACGGGAATTGATGTGTTCAGAAGCAGGCTAGTGGGAATTGATGTGTTCAGAAGCAGGCTAAGGGGATGTTGGTGTGTTCAGAAGCAGGCTAATGGGATGTCAGTGTGTATAGAAGCAGCTAACAGGATAAATGGGATATGTATGTACAGAGGCAGGCTTCTGTCAGATCTGCTGCATCCTGCAAAGTGCAAGCCCAGGAACATCAGCCGAGTGCTGGGAGCTCCATCCAGGGCACTGGCACATCTGCAAAATCAGCCTCTCTGCTCAAAACTATTAATTCAAGCAAAAAAGGGAGGGAGTGGCCAGCAAGAGCCCAGCAGGTAAAAGTGCCTGCCCCAGGATCCTCATGCTGACAACTTGAGTTTGATGCCAGGATGTCAGAAAAACAACTTCTGGATGGTGACACACATTTAGGATCCTGTGAAGCAGGAGGTGGGCATGTGAGAGTCACCAGGAAGCTCCCAGCCCTGGAGTATAACAGCAGGAGAAATAGGAAGACCCCTCTTTCCGAGGTGGTAGTCACACAGTCCTGATGTTTCTCTGACCTCCACATGTGGCTGTGGCCTTTGTGCCTGCACCCACACCTTCTCATCCTCGCTCATAAACACACACAATAATAAAAGCAAAGCAGAAATGAAAGAAAGGATAGAGAGAGGGAAGAAAGGAAGAAGAGAGGTAGAAAAAATAAAAGCCCCAAAGATTGAACTCTGTGTGTGCCACGGGAATCTCTAGCTTGTGATGGAGCCTGCCTGAGAAGCCCGAGGCAGGGTGCTGTCGTCGATGTGGGGTGAATGCTGACTTTGCAGGAGCATGGCAGGAATAGGCACTTGGTTAGAGGTCCTAGAAGGGTGTCAGTCTGGCTCTTCTCCTGAAGTCTATGTGAATGTGTCTGTACAGGCAAGTGCATGCATGTCAGTGTGTATGTGTGTGTGTGTGTTTCATGCTTGGCTGGGTATGTGTCTAGGTGTGAATGAGTGTGAGTTTCCATGTATCCCCATGTGTGTGTTTGTGAGTCAGAATCTCATAACCTTCCCATCTCAGTTTCTCCACCTGAAAAATGGTATCTTTTTTGTTTATTTGTTTTGTGTTTTTGACATGGTTTCTCTATGTATCCTTGGCTGTCCTGGAACTCACTCTGTAGACCAGGCTAGCCTCAAGCTCACAGCACTGTGCCTGCCTCTGCTGGGATTAAAGGCATCTTCCACCAGTGACTAAAAATCATAATATCTTTTCTCTTTTCCTTTTTTTAAGGTTTATTTATTTATTATGTATACTTTGTTCTGTCTGTGTGTATGCCTGCTTCCCAGAAGAGGGCACCAGACCTCATTATAGATGGTTGTGAGCCACCATGTGGTTGCCAGCAATTGAACTCAGAACCTCTGGAAGAGCAAACAGTGTTGTTAACCTCTGAGCCATCTCTCTCTTTTACTTTTAAATCTGTCTCTGGCACTGGAGAGCTGGCTAAGAATTTTTTTTTTTCAAGAAATTTTTAGTTTACTACAGTGTTCTGCCTGCAGGCCAGAAGAGGGCACCAGATCTCAATATCTCATTACAGATCATTGCTTGAGCAACCATGTAGTTTTTGGGAATTGAACTCAGGACCTCTGGAAGAGCAGCCAGTGCTCTTAAACCCTGAGCCATCTCTCCAGCCCCCCCCCCCAAATATCTTAATAGGGTTGTTTTTGTTTTTATCCCCTAGAAATTCTTTTATTTAAGCAAATTTTGAAAGTAAAAGCAGAGACACGTAATCTTTCATGTAAATGAAACAGCCCAGCACCACAGGTTACAGAAACAAAGAAATGAGAAGGTGGGAGTTGAAAAGAAACTAAGGCAGAGAGGCCAAGTCTTTGACTTTAGTTTCCCTGAAGTTGAGCATGGAAGCAAAAAAGTTTCTACAGTTAAAAGGTTCATATAAATTATATGTATTGTGATTTTTGTGGACGTCAGAATGAGATGTTCTGCACAGAGCTAGAGATAAGCCTACGTGTCATGTCATAATTATACAAGGCCAGCAAAAGCCACGGATATTAGTAACAAAAAGAAAAGTTCAGTTCTTTAGCTGCATGAGTAAAGAGTCCAGCATGGGCCCTAATTAGTTCAAGAATGTAGACTATTCTACAGAGCAGCAATTATGGGCAGATTGTATAGGAAGACATGTGCTCCTGGTTGTTATGTTACTGACTTTCTAATATGGGAAAATTAATACAGGTATTGTAAAAGGTTACACAAATCAACTGCATGTCTACAAAAGCACAAAGGCAACGCAGTAGCCAATATGCATGTCCAGCCATTCATGTCTCCAACAAAGAGAACTGTCCTACAACTGCACACCTGAGGAAGAGCTGGCTAGCTTCAGCCAGGGCTGGGAAACACTGGCGTCGCACAAGTCACAATGGAGCCGGAGGATATCTTCTAGGTAAGAGGATTTTTTTTGGTTGACTTTTTTTTTTAATTTATTAAAGATTTCTGTCTCTTCCCCACCGCCGCCTCACCTTTCCCTCCCCCTCCCCAAATCAAGTCCCCTTCACTTGTCAGCCCAAAGAGCAATCAGGGTTCTCTGCCCTGTGGGAAGTCCAAGGACCACCCTCCTCCATCCAGGTCTCGTAAGGTGAGCATCCAATCTGCCTAGGCTCCCACAAAGCCAATACGTGCAGTAGGCTCAAAAACCCATTGCCATTGTTCTTGAGGTCTCAGTAGCCCTCATTGTCCGCTATGTTCAG